ATAAATTGAAAAGATGAAGTACAAGCTTTCATAAAATTTTCCAGCAGTGGGTTGCTTATGACTCTATGCCTTTTCTCCTAGGAGGTTCTTTCTCATCTGCATTAATAGCACTTGGATGAAAGATATGTAGAAGCCTTGCTTTAAAATTTTTAAAAAACAAAATTCTATGCAGTGCCACATATATACTTATGGAAATAGAAATTACCACTTAAATCTGTATGAAATCAAAGTGTGTTCTTTTATCACTCAATTCATGATACACTAAGTTTTCCTTAGGGTGTCTTAGATTTAAGTTTATCTGTTGTTTTAAATGCTCTCCTCACCCCAGTATTAGTGTTTCTGTGTAAATGACACCTTCCATCCTTCTGCTCACTTTATGCAACCTTAGCTCTGCTTAGTGATTTATTGTTCCCAGATAATTCCAATTCTTCTGGCCTTCCAACATAGTAGATGTGCTTCCTAAGCTGTTTACGTGGTTCTCCGACAATACTGTGTGTACTGCAAGCCAGCTAAGAAGGGGCTTTAGCTTCTTAGCTTCTTCTAATTACTCTGATTTGTACTGGTTTAAAGTCAATTGAACAGAGGTAGACAGAGGATCAGTCTCAGCTTGTTGCTTTTTTTTTTTTTTTTTTAAGATTGATCTCCTCTTCCTATCTGTGTCTTACAAGAGGAGTATTCATTTTATTCTTTTAATATATGAGTAATTCAATATTTAACTATCCTTGCACTGTATATAATTTTTTTTCCTTTTAGCTTCTTTTCTATTAGTCCTTTTAAAATGACATTTAAAAAAATATCTGTGGGGTTAATTGAGGTATAGATCTTACTGGAGACATAAGTGTCACTTTTTTATCTCAGTTACATTCTTTAAAAATTATTTATGGAATCATAATATGTGGAGGAGGTAATATGTTGATTATGAATATTAGCTACTACAAAAAAATGAAGGATCCAAATCCAGCCAGAAATCAACTTAGGTCAGTTACATGTTGGTTGGTGAAATTAAGACCTAAAAGTTTGCAAAGAGACTGGTGGTGGAGGAAATGGATAATGATGAAAATAATATGTTTGGGGGAATGAATTTTTAGTTATTTTTCATCCAAAGTTTAGGAGATTGGTGCCTATGGGACATAGGTAAACCCTAGTTTTTTTTTTATTTTCAATTCATTCTTAATTAATGATTTGCTATTGTTCTCTAATTCTTTGTTCTCCAAAACTAGATTATAAGAAATTGGAAGAACTTCATATATGGATAACATTATATCATAATAATGGCTAAATGGCTGATGAGAAATTGTATGCATTTTCTAATGTCTCAAAAATATTATAGTGTGATTTAATTTCAAAATGTTCTAGATATACTAAATGAGTCTTTGAAGCTTCTCTTCTAAAAAAAAAAAAAACAAACAAAAAAAAACCTCTTGAAAAAGTCTTCTTTTATTCAACTAAGAACACAAGTACTAACCATAATCTGTCTTACACTGAGTTAGGTTTTTGCCTTCCTTTTAATAGTATCTTATTAACACGTTATCCTCTGAAGATAGTGTTCAAATTTATTGCAGATTAAATTCCTAGAAAAGGAACTATAATTTGAAATAATGATACTTATACCTTATTTTCCCATTGGAACAAAATTACAATGGGAGGTTACATTTCTAACCCTGAGGAGGCCAGATGTCCATTTTTATAGAAGTCACCACAAGTAACGCATCTAGTCAGCTACAGATGATATACCTATATAATCTGAGGCTTATAAAGGATATATTACATTGGGAAAGGAGAACAGCACAGTAAGCCATCATATAAAATTGGATTTAATGTAATAGAGTACAGCAGAATACATTACTATTGTAATGTATTCAAGAGATTTAAAATAATGGATTTTATGGTAGAACAAGTGGCAAGCATTTCAGAGGCACAAGCCTTTAAACTTGAGATCCAGGCCTACAGTATGTCAGAGGTCAGAAGCAGGCTGTTAACTCAAAACTCCTCTGCCCAGAGTGTTCTACTTTCCTAGAAACAATGCCCAAATCAGTGGGAACAGAGACTAATTCCACTGAAAACCTTTGTAAGTAAATCGGACTTCACATCCAGGTTTTCTGATCCTCGGGCAGAATGCAAATACCTCCAAGTATGTACTGTCTCATATTCTTGTCCCATCATAGTTTGTGTGTCTTCTCTCTTAAGCTTGACTCATAGTGCTTCTTCTTCCCTGAGCTTTCCACTCCGACCTCTGGTTTCAGTGAAAGTTTTATTTAACGCCTTTCCTTAAGTAAAAACATTCTTTCCCTAAAGATACTACTAGCCCTGGAATACAACTGGAAGCTGTCTATAGCAGAGACTGGCTACCTGTTCATCAAAAACTTTTTTTTACTTTCTTCTTGGCCACATGTCCTCATGGCCCTTATGGTTGGGTGTGATGATGTGGCTGCATTTTAGTGAATGTATGCAGGAAAAGTGTGAGTGTTGCTCCCAGTCCTCAACCATTAAAAACTTCTTATGTTCAATCTTCCAAAAACCATTCCTTCTCTCTGGCTACAATGGAGACTTCAGAAAAGCCTTGGGAACCACCTGATAAGATGGTAACAGTATCATCAGTGGAAGGAATCCAGGTACCTAACTTACTTCTTAGAAGAAAGACAGTCAGAAGATCTGATGATTGGGATTGCTACATGAGTATACAATAAATTGCCTTTATTTAAGCCACCACATTACAGATGCTTTTCTGTTACAGCAGCTAGTGGTGCCCTATTGAATACATTGTCCATTCACCAACACCTAAGTGCCCTAGGACAAAGAGGCACTTTTTACAACCTTTTTTTTTTTAATTCCCTAATGGCTCCAGATTTTTTTTTTTTGCCTTTTCATCTCCAGTAATTTTCACCTCCCTTTCTCTTCTGTTTCTTTTTCCATCATCTCAGCTGCAATTTATCATTACCCAGATCATCTATACCTGTGAACTATTAAATTCATCTATCCTATTCTCATATCACATATGTAGCTCACTCGCTCAGTTGTTTGTTCTTATTTTGCTTGCTTTTCATCTTTGTATCATATTCACTCCTTTAACCCCTCTACCTCCTCTCTCCACTCCCTTGACTTCCCTCACTATCTTGCTTAGACTACATGCTCCAGCACTTCGTCACCCTCTTCTCAGTATTGGCAACTCCATTTGCCAACTGACCCTCCTCAGCAGATTAGTGGCACTCACCTGCATGGATTGGTACCTCTATCAATTCAAGGTCTCTGGTGTCAATTAAGCTTTCAATGTGCCTGGAAACAAGTCTGTGTTTTCCTAATTAATTTCTTCTCCTATTATTCACAGCAGTTATTTCAAACCTACATTTCCTCAAGACTGTGATACTGCCACCATGCCTCTACCATTATGTCAGGGGCGTGTTTGTCACTATGCAGAAGACACAGAAGTTACTAGAAGAAATTCTATAATAATTTCCTGCTGTGAACCTTAACTTAATCCACATCTTGTCACAATGGAAAATATGTCTTAATATAGTTAATCTTTCATCTGTGATTAGCATCTCTAAGGGTTTCCAGAGAAAATACAGGATTCCCAGTTGAACTTGAATTTTAGGTAATATATTTTTTTAGCAAAGTCCCTGGCAATATTTGGAACATACTTAAACTAAACAATTACTTAGCATTTATCTGAAATTCAAATTTTTCCCAAATCCTAGCTTTTGGTTTTATTTTTTTACTAAATATGACCTCCTGATTTATCCCACTTCTACCCCTTATCCAACTTCTCACCAAATACTCCATTCTCTTTTGTGTCTTCAGTACACAAATTCTACAAGAATTCCTCATGAACATTTGTCATATTCACTTATCTCCTAAACTAAATGATTCTCCCTTGACCCCATGTTCCTCTCCATTGACTCCCTATCTTTGTCCTGCCCTTCACACTCTATTGGAAGTCACGTCTGTACACTGTCTCCTCTTTTTCACTTCACATTCATGAACCTGGTGAGTTTTCTCTCATCAAAGTTAATAATAATTTTGCCAAATCTTACAGACACTTAGTCTTTACCTTACTTGACCTTTAAGTATCATCATACACTAGTAAGCTACTCTTTGTTTCTCAAACTACTATCTTCCTTGGACATTCATGGCACTGAAGTCTCCTCTTCTTGTTTTTAACTCCTTGACCTTCTTAGGTTTGCTTTCAGGCTCCTCTCCTCTGCCCAAGCTTAAAAGGCCCGTGTTACCAGGAGCTCTGCTTTGTTTTAGGTCCATTCTCCTTAATGCATCCAGAAAAGTATACATCCCCAAGGTTTCAATAATCATTTGCATCATACAAAGGTTTCATTCTAACATCAGCAAATGGGCTAAGAAACCAGGTGACATCATTTTTAGAGACTCCATTCATGGCCTCAGGATACCATTTTAGGGCTTTTGTTCTGGATGGAATGTTTGCATTCAATTTGATGAAATTCTGATACATATCTGCAGTCTCTTGGAGAAGATATGGACTATCCAATGCCTTTATTATTCTGGGTAACTGAAATACCCACTGTGGCCATATTGCAAAACCTCTCCACTGCTAGGAATGAATTTAAGCAGCCAACATTAATCCACAAAAATTTTCACCACAATAACCAAATACAAAACAACAGGGGCATTTTTAATTCTAGGTCAGTGGTCTAAGAAATCCTTCTTGGAAGGATAATGGCTCCTTAACCCATACCATGTATTTAATGATATTTTTCCCCCTATATATAGGGAAAAGGATGAAAACATCAAATTATAAGATTAAACTCTAGTTCTCAGGTAAGCTCCCAGAAAATCTGTGTATGTCTTTCTCAGAAAGATGAATACCATATAATTAAATTAAGTGGAACTTGTGAGGCTTACAAAGTTTACAGGAGAATTTTTTGGGGTATTTTTTTTTTTTTTTTTTTTTTTTTTTTTTAGTACATACCCCTCCATGGCGGCTGGCCCCCGCGACCCCTCGCCCCTCCACGCGCCTCCCTGCACAGCTAGGGGAGCGGCCTGGTGGCCGGCGGGCGCCAGCCGCCATGGAGGCTGTACCCCGCATGCCCATGATCTGGCTGGACCTGAAGGAGGCTGGTGACTTCCTCTTCCAGCCGGCCGTGAAGAAGTTTGTCCTAAAGAATTACGGAGAGAACCCAGAAGCCTACAATGAGGAACTGAAGAAGCTGGAGTTGCTCAGACAGAATGCTGTCCGTGTCCCACGGGACTTCGAGGGCTGCAGCGTGCTCCGCAAGTACCTGGGCCAGCTCCACTACCTGCAGAGTCGGGTCCCCATGGGCTCCGGCCAGGAGGCTGCCGTTCCTGTCACCTGGACCGAGATCTTCTCTGGCAAGTCTGTGGCCCATGAGGACATCAAATACGAGCAGGCTTGCATTCTCTACAACCTTGGGGCGCTTCACTCCATGCTGGGGGCCATGGACAAGCGGGTGTCTGAGGAGGGCATGAAGGTCTCCTGTACGCATTTCCAGTGTGCAGCAGGAGCCTTTGCCTACCTGCGTGAGCACTTCCCTCAGGCCTACAGTGTGGACATGAGTCGCCAGATCCTCTCTCTCAACGTCAACCTCATGCTGGGCCAGGCTCAGGAGTGCCTTCTGGAGAAGTCAATGTTGGACAACAGGAAGAGCTTTCTGGTGGCCCGCATCAGTGCACAGGTAGTAGATTACTACAAGGAGGCATGCCGGGCCTTGGAGAACCCCGACACCGCCTCACTGCTGGGCCGGATCCAGAAGGACTGGAAGAAGCTTGTCCAGATGAAGATCTACTACTTTGCAGCTGTGGCTCATCTGCACATGGGGAAGCAGGCGGAAGAGCAGCAGAAGTTCGGGGAGCGGGTCGCATATTTCCAGAGTGCCCTGGACAAGCTCAATGAAGCCATCAAGTTGGCCAAGGGCCAGCCTGACACCGTGCAGGACGCACTGCGCTTTGCTATGGACGTCATTGGGGGAAAGTACAATTCTGCCAAAAAGGACAATGACTTCATCTACCATGAGGCTGTCCCAGCACTGGACACCCTTCAGCCTGTAAAAGGCGCCCCCTTGGTGAAGCCCTTACCGGTGAACCCCACAGACCCTGCTGTTACAGGCCCTGACATCTTTGCCAAACTGGTACCTATGGCTGCTCACGAAGCCTCGTCGCTCTACAGTGAGGAAAAGGCCAAGCTGCTTCGGGAGATGATGGCCAAGATTGAGGACAAGAATGAGGTCCTGGATCAGTTCATGGATTCAATGCAGCTGGACCCTGAGACTGTGGACAACCTTGATGCGTACAGCCACATCCCTCCCCAGCTCATGGAGAAGTGCGCGGCTCTCAGTGTCCGGCCCGACACCATCAGGAACCTTGTCCAGTCCATGCAAGCGCTGTCAGGTGTGTTCACGGATGTGGAAGCCTCCCTGAAGGACATCAGGGAGCTGCTGGAGGAGGACGAGCTGCTTGAGCAGAAGCTGCAGGAGGCCCTGGGCCAGGCTGGGGCCGGCCAGGCGGGCTCCAAGGCAGAGCTGGCTGAGGTGAGGCGCGACTGGGCTAAGTACATGGAGGTCCACGAGAAGGCCTCCTTCACCAACAGCGAGTTGCACCGGGCCATGAATCTGCACGTGGGCAACCTGCGCCTGCTCAGTGGGCCGCTGGACCAGGTCCGGGCTGCCCTGCCCACGCCAGCCCTCACCCCAGAGGACAAGGCTGTGCTGCAGAACCTGAAGCGCATCCTGGCCAAGGTGCAGGAGATGCGGGACCAGCGCGTGTCCCTGGAGCAGCAGCTGCGGGAGCTGATCCAGAAGGATGATATCACTGCCTCGCTGGTTACTGCTGACCACTCAGAGATGAAGAAACTGTTCGAGGAGCAGCTGAAGAAGTACGACCAGCTGCGGGTGTACCTGGAGCAGAACCTGGCGGCCCAGGACAACGTCCTCCGGGCACTGACTGAGGCCAACGTGCAGTATGCGGCCGTGCGGCGGGTGCTCAGTGAGCTGGACCAAAAGTGGAACTCCACACTCCAGACCCTGGTGGCCTCCTACGAAGCCTATGAGGACCTGATGAAGAAGTCCCAGGAGGGCAAGGACTTCTACGCGGACCTGGAGAGCAAGGTGGCTGCTCTCTTGGAGCGGGCACAGTCCACCTGCCAGGCCCGTGAGGCTGCGCGCCAGCAGCTCCTGGACAGGGAGCTGAAGAAGAAGCCGCCCCCGCGGCCCACGGCCCCGAAGCCACTGCTGCCCCGGAGGGAGGAGGGGGAGGCAGCAGAGACGGGAGACCTGCCCGAGGAACTGCGCAGCCTGCCCCCTGACATGGCCAAATGTGTGACAGATTTTGTTTACTGCTGCCATTAAAAAACAAGAGACCTGCCTTTGAAACTGCCTCACATGATCCAATAGAGTAATGACTAGCTGCCTTCAATGTCAATCCTTGGATCTAGGAGAGAATATTAACAATGTCCAGACTACAGGAGACGCACTGGTTCCTAGTTTTCTGTTGTCCTAAGTAACCATTTCATGGCTTATTTAAAATAACAAAATTAGGCCAACCTTAGAGAAAAGTTATTCATTATTTTGTCAAGTACTTTACAAAGAGATACGCATAGAATAATGAGTTAAACGATCCATAGCCTCTAGGATGTTGCACAGGTATTTGCTGTACAGTTCTAAAACAAAATTTCTAGGCATTATATAGTCTTCATTGCCTCTAAAGATGCCTTTTTGTAGTACTTCTTGCTGCCTGCCTTGGTATACAGACATACTCTTTACATTGAGGTAAAAAAAAAGATATCCTAAGACCTTGAGAATGTGTTTCCTCTCATTGTCCCATTGAAACTTTCATTTTGGGAATATATATTTTGAGGTGGAAGCAAGTATTTTCATAGCAAAATACATAACATTATAATATTTATAACCAGTTCCTTAATTTGGCACTACTGGACATATTCCCAGGGGTGGAGAAACACTGTTCTGTGCATTGCAGGATGAGTAACAACATCCTTGGCCCCCGTCTACTAGATATCAGTGGCATCTACATCTAAATTTGTGACCAAAAAAGATATCTTCAGGCATTGCCAAATGGAAAAGTGCCCCAGTTTGAAAATCACTGTTATATACAATAACCCATTAATATGTGGTAATATATACAATTCTCCACACAGAACATCTTAGAAGGTTCTGCTGAAGGGACTGCTTCTCATCCATTACTATGTGCATTGCCAAAATGACCCAGTGGGTTCTTCCAATCTAACACAGGCAGAGGAATTCCACTGAAGGGCTTCAGTTACACAAGCCAGGGCTGTTGTCATTTTTTAGACTATCATGTTCTTGGTCTTTCCAGATAACATTCAGTGCTTCACTAGAAAGGTATCCACTGACTGAGAGCAGGGCCAGTAGCATGTATCTTCTCTTTGTTTATTCCTGAAAAACAAAAGATTCTGATTATAGTCACCAAGATTTACCACCCAGTGTTATGCCAAAGTCAGATCAATAAGGGAACATCATGAGTAGGGCAATCATCTTAGTTGAAACTTTAAATCACATTCTCTCCACAGAGTCCTTAAATATGTCTGGCATGACATACTTCAGCACTAGTTAGATGAGTAGTATAGCCCAGCTCACTGTCAAATTGTCTGTGACTATGGCAAATTGTTTCTTTTTCCCCCACCATCTTCTTGACATCATTCTGCCTCAGTCCTTCCAAACTGGTATCCATGTTTTTTGGAATCAGCAAATTAAATTCAGAAAGACTTGTTAGTTGTTTCAGAATTCAGGAGTCTGCTCAATGAAACTCCTACTCATCTCCTGCTCAATAGATCACTCTAGTGGCCTATGTATCTAGGAATACATTATAATCAACAGTTAGCAAGGAGTCTTAGCACTGTTTCCTCACTGTCATCTAAAACTTCAAAGAATCATTTCTCATGTTCTTATAAATTGCTTCCCAAGATGATTATATCAACCTCACACACCTCGCAACAGTTCTTATTTCTAACTACTTTTTCATCGACATCTCTGAAAGATAGCAAGGTTTCTGGAAATGCTGAAGAAAATACTTTAAAACTGAAGAAAAATCATAACAAAATAAAAACCTTTAACCCATGTTAAATAAAGCCTGTCTTCTTTTCCCTAGGAATAAGTGTCTGGTAATACTCTTTAAAGCCAACACTGAAAACACTTATCTTCCTACAAAGCCACATGATATCTAGATTTTAGCTATGTGGTTAGTGACTGAAAATCCAAATATATAATATGTTTTCCAGCTTTCTTGGAAATCATCTTGACGAGACATAAACTTGATAATCTATATAACGCCATTCATTAGCATTTCATTATATGGCCTTTACCTTTTACAAAGTGATCCTCCTTGAATTGCATGGCATCCTGCTTTCACTTATATCCCATTAATGGAGAAAGAACATGTGATTCCTAGTTTATATTCTTCCCTGCAATCTTTCCTTCCAGTTCTGCAATGCTGGGAAACCAGGTAAGTCAAAGCTATATAAATTTAATTCCAAAGACCTTTTCTCCCTCAGGAGCCTAATAATTGGGACTAATCAGAGACTAACTACCTATTCCATCTGAATTCTATTAACCCAGAGACCAAGTATGGGGAATTTAACTAAACACTGCTTTATTCCTGTTCAAGTTGGAAGAAGACTTGATCAGTTCGTTTACTTCAATCAGGTTTCCAGAGACCTGACAGAACCCATAAAGGAACATGTATCATTCATATCATGACTAAAATATGATGGTGACCAGAGTTTTACTGTGTTTAACATTTCAACAATTCAGACAAATGCTCTACAAAAGTAACCCACTGGTTGTTGACATCAGGCTATATAATCTGTATCAGAAAATACTTCCCCACATGGAACTGAAGGATGCTTAAGAAATATTTATTTGGGGCTCACATTATTATAATTGATATGAAATCGACTCTGAGGATATACTCAGGAGGGCCCACTGTATTCTATCACATAGACATCTGCTCCTGCCTTTGATTCTTAAAATGCAAATGGGGACCTTTTTCTCCTATAGGCTTCAATAAGGCAACTCATACCTGAGATCTCAGGGAGCATATACACCTCCCCAAACTCCATGCACTCCCAGTCTCATTTCCTCTCCCGCTTCAAACTTGTCAATCCATAAAAGCTTTTTGTTCTGTCATCAGAACAAAACCACCATCTTCTTCCACTGAACTACCAATGGTGAAACAAGACAATAGTCTTTTAATTGGTCTTCCTATAATAATTAGTGTTTCCTCATAGTTTATTCTCCACATAGAGTTTAGATGATTTTTTAACATGTAAAGCAGATTCTTCCCCTCTAATAACCATCTAGGAACTTCCCATCACTTAGAATTAAATCCAAACAATCTGCCAAAGCCTAAAACAGCCATCATAATCCATGGTCCAGCCTCTCTCCTACCATTCTCTTCAATGGACTCAACAAAATGACTTTCATGCTCATCTTAACACACATGCCTTGCTTGGTCCTTGTCCCGAGTGACATGTCTCCTCTGAGGTTAGCTCTTTATCATTCAGGTCTCTTCCCATTCACCTCAAAAAGGCATCCTAAAAACTCTATCAAAAAAGTACCCCCTCCTTGCCAGATATTCTAATTTTTTCAGAGAAATTATCACTTTTCTAATTGTTTTAATACTTCTTATCTACTCAAAGCATAAACACTCTGTAGTTCACCACTGCCAGGCTCTGTTGTATACAAGGTATACAGTTATATACCAAAGCTACCATTAAAAAACAACAAACACACCCATGGAGGAAGAAGTTGCTTTAGGAGAAAGCTAGATATGAACTCTAGAAGGAGGTAAATGGGCTGAGTTGTCTCCCCCAATAATTCATATAGTGAGTCTTACCACCCAGTACCTCAGAATCTGATTATATTTAGAGATAAGGTCACTAAAGAAGTAATTAAGTAAAAAGAAAGGCATTATTGTGAGTCCTAATCCAATATGACTGGTGTCCTTATAAGAAAAGGAAAATTTGAACACAGATAGTTATAGATAGAAGACCATGTGAAGACATAGGAGAAGATGGTCATCTACCAGCCAAAAAGAGAGCCTTCAGAAGAAACCAACACAGCTGACATCATGACCTCAGATTTCCAGCATCTAGAATTGGGGGATGGAGGGAGAAGAAAACAAAACAACAACCAAAAAAACACACACAGTTCTGTTGTTTAAGCCACCCAACTTGTGGTATTTTGTTATGGCAAACACCACAAACTACACAATAGGGGATTTTGCTTTCCAGAGAGTATGGTAAGATTGTTGAGTTGAGATTAGGAGTGGTAAAATCCTGAATCAAATTAGAGGATGCTTAGAAAAAAATGTGAATAGAAATTTAGTGATACTAAATGACCTGGAAGATTTGGACTTCTTGTATTCACTGAAGAAAATAGAAATGTACAATGTACCAGGATTAATACTGATGATTTTTTTATGGGAAGGAACATATTTAAATCAAATATAGTTTGCATTTTGGAACTATCCTTTTAGATGGTTAATAATGAAGTGGGAAAAAAGTATTAAGAGTGTGCACAATCTTATCACTATATGATTATTAATTCAGAATACATTGCTAAAAGAAAGATTTCTGGTACAAAGAAAACTATTTTATTTAATTTGATGAGATGGCTAAAGAAATAAGTGGTATTTGACAATTTGACAACCGTTAAAGAATTTAGAATGAGCCAATGCCTAGGGCCATAAGTCTGATTAAAACAACAACAACAACAACAAAAGTTAAAGCAATAGACAGTCTGACACAGTGCCACATAAACAATGGATCCTTAATAAATGCTTACTGAAGGGAATGGCATTGAGTGAGAGCCCACCAGGAAATAGCCAAATTAAACAATGAAGAAAAACTAAGAGTGAGAAATAACAGAAAGGTTAAGCTAGTTATTGAATTCACATACAGTTGCAAGGCACTTTATGTAAAAACCCTAATAAAAACAACACAACACAGGAGAGTAAAGTCATTAGAAATCACAGACCCACTTTTTAGATAATGAGACCCAGCTTCATAATTGTGAGCAACATTTTCTGCAATTTCCTGAGGGAATTCTTTTTAACTTTCAACAACAGAGTGTATTGGCAAATACTTGGCAACTCATATCTTAATAACCAACAAAGAACAACCAATCAATAAACTGTGAAATGACAAATATTAGCAATTAATATGGAGTATAAATTGTTACCATGTGAAGGTAAATACACTCCCAAGTGTTGCTGCTTGACTTAAAGGGCTGGTAACATGTCCAAGTTTTTATGTGGTACTCCAAATACAGTGAGTCTCAGTATAAAAGACCCCAAGTATTAAATATTGTGT